CAGGTAAGGGAGCTCCCGGGCGTTCCCTCTGGCGATTCTAGCAGCCTTCAAGTAAAAGCTCTGCGACTGAAGCTTGACTCGTGCACAGGCATGAACCTCTGGCCCGCTGTCCACGCAGTGTGCCAGCCCCTCCCCCACCCGTTGTGCCCGGAGGTGCCCATCTTGCTCCTGTGTCCGCTCATCTGCCCAGTCTGAGTGCCTTCAAGTGGCTTTGATAGGCCTCTGCCTGGAGTCTCTTGCTGTGGCTGGCTGTCCGTAACTTCTCGGGGTTCATCTGGCTCCAATCAATGTCTCTCTCGCACCAAGATTCCATGTGCCTCTGGGTGTCGCCAGGTTCTGGGGGACAGAACTTCAGTAGGGACGTCGAAGGGTGGCGCCTTGCCATTGTACGTTCGCCTCTACCAACTGCAGCTGTGTAATTACCGGGATGTGTGGGCTCACGGTGGGTGTGTGGGGGTGTGTGTTAGTTCTGTGTGTTCGGAGTGTGCAGCATACGTTGATCTTGTGTGGTTGGGTGTCTGTGGGTTGTGCGTGTATGCGTGTTACATTGCATTTGTGGGAGAGGTGTTGTCTGAGTGTGCGAACATGTTGGCTGTGTGTGTATGCGCTGGGCGCGTATGGCTGGTGGTGTGCGCTGGTTGTGCGCGTGCGTCTGTGTGTGCGCGCGCGCTGGCTGGATGTGTGTTGGGTGTCTGTCTTGTTGTACACGTGTTGCATGTGTTGTGTTAGATGTGTGTGTTGCAGTGTTCGTTGGTGCGTGGCGTATGCGATGGTGATGACGACGGCGCGCGTGCGTAATAGCTGCGTCTCGGAGGAAGCGCTTCAGGCCCCAGCGCGCAGAGAGCCGGGAGCTGGAGGCTCGCGGGGCCGCGGGAGGGCGCTGTGCGGGAGGCCAGCGGGTGCGGCCAGAGGGTCACCCCAGGCCTGGAGCAGGGCTGTTGTGCGAGGCGGGAGTGGAAACTGTCGAGTGGAACGAAAGGAAATCCGAGGGTCTGAAGTGGGGATTCCGCGTGCGCTGGAGATTGGACACTCGGTGGCCGTGGGCAGGGGACAGTGAAGGTGTTTCCCAGGAGCGGCCGGAGTCGTGGCTGGGGGAGTGTCCCGGCCCCGCCGCCGTGCGAGCTGCTGGGAGGGCGGGGACGGAGCCGGGGAGGCCGCGCGGCCCCGGGGGCCCGGCCAGGCCGGCGCCAGCCGCCAAGTTGAAAGGCGGCCGCAACCTCTCCTCGCCGCTTCCCATTGCGCTCCCGAGGGCTCCAGGCGGGGCGTAGGGCGGGCTCACCTCGGGGCCGCGGGTCACTAAGGGGGGCATCCTTCGGTAGGGGACCCCGCCAGCCTCACGGCCCGGAGCTGGCTTCGCACTTGAATTCCCCCGCCTCCCGAGTGATTGTCTCCCCTGGGCCTCCTGCGCGACCTGGGCCTTCAATCCCGGGATCAACGAGCGGAGAAAAGGACCCAAAAACAAGGCGCGCCTGGCGCGAGCTCCCCGCCCCTTCCCCGGCCTCGCGGAGCCGCGACCGCCCCCGCCGACCCACACGGAGCGAGAGCGCCCCAGGCCCCCTGCCGCGGAGAGCTCTCTCCTACCTGGGGCCTCCCGCCACCGGCCTTGGGGCCGTTGGGTCCAGCGGCGTGGTCAGAAGCTGAGTTTGCAGATCGAGGCTTTGTTTCCTCCCCAACGAACCGAAAATGCCTTCACAGCTCGCGGGGCAGGTGGGAAGCCCCTTTGTTCCCCAAGGGACGGGGCTTGCTCGCGGCCAGAGCGCGAAGGAGTTAAATTCGTGGTTCCCGGGGCCGGTTGGCCAGCGATACGCGCTCTTCGCAGACCGTTTCCAGCCCCAAAGAGCCATTCGGGCCCTGGGTGACCCTCAAGGAGAGAGGGCAGGGCAGTGTGGGGAAAGCGTAGACACCGCAGTGTGATCTGTGTTCGAATCCCTCCTCTATCCTTTATGGGCTGTGTGACCTTGGGAAAACACGTCACCTCTCTGGACTGCTGTCCACTCCCTTGTAAAACAATCCCCTAAGGTTTGGGGCAGGCGGCGCTGTCGGGAATTCCTCTGGGCGCCGTAGGTGGTGACTCCGAGTGAACGATCTGATGTTTTCTGCCAAAGGAGGAAACTGATCCGTAAAGGACCAGGCCTGGGAACCCCCTGTCCACTCTGTCCTCGCTCGAAAAACAAGCAACTTAGTTCAGACGACTGAAAGAGAAGCGGTGCCTGGAGCCCCGCCTCCAATTCCCACCAGACCTGGCTGAATGGGACTCGGGGTCCTCACCCCACACCAGGGCACCGCTCCGATCCGGCAAACATTTATTGGGCACCTTCTGTGTGCATGCTCTATTGAGAGAGGGAATTCAGAAATAAAAAGTGGGGAAAGAAAGAGCTAGACGGAAAGAAACAAAAAATGGGAAAACGAGGGGATGCGGGAGTGGAAGGAAACCCGGACCCAGACCGGCAACTCGGCGGGTGGAGGCGCGCGCGGAGGCGGGCGCGAGCCGGGGGGTCCCAGGGCGGCCACCTCCTCCCACCCTCTGAGGTGCCGGGTGGGGGAAGGGGGCGCGCCCGCATGGCCTGCAGCTACCGCCTCTCTGGAGCCGGGGCGCGTCTGCAGAGCGCGAGCCGTCGCTCATTACTGCAATTATGTTGCTGTAAGTTTGCCTCGACCCTAAATTGCCAAACTTCGAGGAGCCAGGAGGCCCGGGAGTCTGAGCCAGAAACACCTGATCCTGCCCCACCATTCCCCTACCCGCACCAGAGGAAAAGACTAGTTCCCGGCTGTGCTGGGAACTGAGAAAAAGTTCAGATCCAGCCCCTATTTCCCCAGGAGCCCTCTCCCGCGTGGGGGCGGGGGGAGGGTTGGTTGTTGCGTTCCCAGAATCCTGGGAGTGGGGAAGGCTTTCCAGGCCCATTTTGCAGATGAGAAAACTGAGGAACGAAGACATGGAGTATCTTCCTTCTCCAAAGTCAGGCAAAGTAAGTGGCAGGACTGGGATGAATCACACCGGCTTGTCTGACTTCAAGTTCAATACTATCCCCAGGACAGGAGAATCACGAGAAGTGTTCCAGGAAGGAACCTGGAATAGGTGTAGGAGGCAGTGTCCTTCGCTGCATCGCTGTCGGGTTGCTTAGTTAGAGAGGGGAGGCAAAAACAACCCCCTTCTGCGTCTGCCGGAAGGAAGCAGCGATGTACCTCAGCCCGCAAGCGCCTTCCAAGGACTGCTTGAGTCTGAGACCTTTTTAGGTCTAACCGCCCTCTCGTGGGGACAAGGAGGGCCAGATGCAGGTTCTGACCACACTTCTGAGAGCCCAGAAGCCGGGCTCCCCCAGTCTGTCTGGCGCGTCGGAACTGCACTCCACAGCAAGCTTGTTTTCTTCTCTTCGGGAGGGGAGTTGTGGCATGTTCACACTGCAGCCCCAGCCTCGGGGTCCGAAGGGACTGGAGGACCCGAGAACCAGGGTACCCCGGAACTTGCCGGGCGAACGCTCACAGCCCGCCCCGGGTGCGTGCGCGCAACCCTGTGCGCCCTTGGAAACGCTAGGCAGAGCTCCGGCGCCTGGGGCTAGAAACAGCGCAGCGGGTCCTAACTCGGTTTCCACTCTGCGCCAAGGCCTCCATTCGTGGAGACGTCCGCCCTCCCCACGTCCAACGCCAGATACTTTGCGTTCTAACAACCGCTGACCTGCTGGCTTGCGGTGTCAAGGGCTCGCCGCAAAGGCGGCCTGGGGCTGTCCTGCGTGGAGTCTGGAGGGCTTAGCCCGGGGAGGGGGGCGCACGCAGATCTGGTGAGCATTAAACCCGGCCCCCCTCAGACTAGAAACAGAACAGAGAGGTGCCTGGAACATAGTAGGCTCCGTTTACTACGAGGTCATTTTCTGCTATCAACATCCTTGGAGCATTCACCCCAGAAGGCTAAACCTGGCGCTCGGTCAACAACATTCTCCTGGAAGCCTGAATTTAACCCACTATGTAAAAGAAAAACGGAGTTTGTGGGAGTTTGGAGGCAGGGCTCATGCAAAGGACACGCCAAGGTGGGAAGTGTGTTGTCGCCTTGGGTTTTCAGTAAAGTGTTTTGTGTTTAGGGGTCCTCATAGGGGCTGTGAAGGAGTTCACGTTCTGGCGGCTCCAAATTAGATCCACAAACCGGGTCTACACCAGCGCAGCGGCGATTTAGAGAAGGAAAGCCGTACCTCCGCCCCCCACCTGGCCTCCTGTGGGAAAAACAGGTTTGCGGGGGTGGGAATTGTCTGGATTAGCTGTCTGCAGTCATCAAACCATTTGGGTGATTCGCTTTGTTTTCACAGACAGGTTAAAAGGGAAGAAAAAAGAAAGAGTCGGTTATGGGTCGCCTGAGCAAGTGTCGATTTCAGCTTAAAGTGAATTGGAAAATTGAGCCTAATTATCGTAGGTAATTGCTTCAATTCTCCACTTGACTTTGCGAGCGCAGATCTGTCCTGTGTGTTCAAAAAGACACCCCCCTCTGTCCCTGAATAGTGTGATCACCTCTGAAAGGCCGTAGAGTAAAACTACCGTCGAACTGAAAAGCAATTGCCCATGTGCAGAAATGGCAAGATGTAAAATTCAGAGAAAACCCTAAGTCAATAAAGAGATCATTTCTTGTAGCTTAAAATTAATTTATTTAACAAATATAGCTATAATATAAATGATAATAAAATTTCAAATATACAGTATATTACACACCATCCCTTCCAAAGGGATTCTTGAGTCACACAAACGTACTGTTAAATAGAAACAGGATTTTTAAATTTTATTTTACAATTTCTTCTGATACTGGTGAGAGGGGTCCCTTCAACCTACCTTGGCAACGCATCTGTGTGTCCCCCCTCCCCGCACCGAAAACAAACGTTCTGCTGTTGCAAGTTCTCAGAAGTTTTTCGAAGGAAGGACCTGGGGGGGTGGGGGGGGCGGGGAGGTCCATCTCCCCAGGATGCTCTTCTCTTTCTCTTCAAATGTTCGTATTTCCAAAACCTTCAGACAGGAGTTTTGGGTTTTTTTTTTCCTGTTTTTCGCGCCCGGTGTCAGGACAGGAGGCAGCGACAGCAAGACCGGCCGCTGGTGCCTGTCCAACCACTAACTCGGCTGAGGACCCTTGGGGAACTTAACCTCTCACCCCAGTTTCTCCACCGATAACACAAAGGGTGGGGCGAGATTCTAGAGGAGGGTTAAGGGGCCCTTCCAGCCACGTCTGGGGAGGGGATCAGACTTCGGAGAGTGAAGGCGGGGAGCAGCCAAGGATGCACCGGAGCGGGTTGGGGGTGAAAGGGGAAGGAGCCGGGCGCTGCCGCGAACAGGGGAGCTCGCTGCGGGGAAGGTGGCTCCTGCCGCTTTGCAGAAGACGGGGGTGGGGAGGGGGCCTGGAGGAATGGCCGATGCCTCAGGCTGGGACCCTCTATGTCAGGTGGTACATGCTGTAGCCCACATGGGCGGTGTAGAGTCCCACGGGCGCGACCGGCAGCGCGGCGCGCTGGAAGGGGCCCGAGGCACCGTAGAGCGAGGCGCCCGCCGCGGCCGCGACCGCCGCGGGGCCACCGAGCGGGAAGGACAGGCCGAAGGCCGCCGGGGGCAGCATGGGCTTGGCGGCCATCTTCAGCTTTTCCAGCTCGGCCTCCTGCAGTCTCTTGGCCTTGGCGCGGCGGTTCTGGAACCAGATCTTCACCTGCGTCTCGGTGAGGCTGAGCGAGCTGGAGAACTCGGCGCGCTCGGCGATGGACAGGTACTGCTTCTGGCGGAACTTGCGCTCCAGCGCCAGCAGCTGCGCGGTGGTGAAGGGCGTCCTCGGCTTGCGGTTGGTCTTGTGCTTGCGCAGGGTGCAGGCCGGGGGGCTCAGCCGCCCTAGGGGGCCGGGAGAAAGGCAGCGGGTTGAGAGAGCGGCGCGGGCAGCGTTACCTGCCCACCAAGCAGGAATAGTGCTCAGTAACAATACCAGGTATGCATCTCCGTGGGGCACCTCGGTGCCAAGTACTGGGAGAGACACTTGGAAAAGATTTTCTCCAACTGCCACCCCCGCAGGGTGGAGGTCCTGTCCACTTCTTGCAAATGAAGAAAACAAAGATTCCGGGTGAAACGCGCCTGCCAGTTCAAGGCCAGAACTTAAGTGGGAACGGGTGGAATGCTTTGGCGCTAGATGGATGCTTCCGAGGGCCTTCTGCGGCCAGCCTCCCCCCACCATGGCCCAAGCTGGTACCCTAGGTGTTAACAAGGTTGATGAAACAGGCAGAGAGGCCCTACACCAAACCCAAGATCACATCTAGTTTTATTGTGTTGGGTGAATGTGTACCTGTGCCTCACCGAGCGTTCAGTGCTAGGCTAGGCCCAGATCTCTTTCCCTTGGAAGAGCATATTCCCCACAGGGGTTGAAAGGCGGCCCCAGGGAAAGGCAGGCGGAGCAAAGCCTGCTGTCAGGCGGTCAGCAAGGTCGCCCTGTGGCCATATCTCGAATACACGAAGTGCCAAGGGGAGGGGGTGCATCTTTTGATGGTCTCAATGGTCTCTGGACTCTGCCACGCCCAGCTCCTTGGCCCTCTGGTCACACACAAATAGGGGCGAGCGGGAGGGGGGCTGCAATCCTTTCTCCTCCACCTGGGTCTCAGTCCACGGAGATCGACGGTGCCCAGCTTTTTCTTATGGCATCAGAATATACCTCAAAGATGGGCGGTAAGCCAGCACCCCGGCAGAGGGCTCCCGTAGGTCTGAGACTGAGTCCCCCGGGCCAGTGAACCCCGGCCACACAGGGCCGTTGTGGCCAGATGAAATGTAGAACCAATGATTCCCAGGACAACGGGGATCTCAACGACTTTGGGGTCGCAGGGAGGCCCTAACCGAATTCCCAAGTCCTGGAAAGGATGCTTTGCCTACTCAGCAGCTCCCCTGGGGGGTGGGGGGAATGAGCTCAAGTAGAGAATGTTTCACCATGCGGGTTTTGCCTATGTATGCATTTCTTTCTCGTTTTTTGTTTTTGTTTTTTTAAATGATCCTTTGGGTTCGCAGACCACCAGGATATGAGTCAAACGAAATCTTGTGTTAACATCCCTTCTTCGTCCCTGCTCCAGGCCATTGAGAGTCCGGGAAGCGGTTGGCCCCAGACTCGCTTTCCGCCAGGCCGCCCGAGGGGCGGGCGCCTAGGGAAACGTCAATCCCTCCGGCAGCGACAGCCTAGCCCGGGGCCACCTTCTCCAGCCATTAGGCCCAGGGAGGGGCTGGCCTTTCAAAGAAGTTTAATCCCCAGATAAAAATCATTCCTCAGCATCACGCCATTGAATTCGGGTTGCTATTATGCCGCGCAAAATAATCGGAGGAAGCGAGGAAAACTTGGGAATTTCCCGTGCTCCTGAAATATCTCCGAGCGTGTTTGCTGGGCAGAGAAGCCGGGGGGCCGTGAGGCCTCGGAACGACCCCGAACGCGCCTTTGGCTGGCTGGAGTCCGCTTCAGGGGCCCTGTCGGGCGGCGTTTGGGAGCTAGCTTCCCACCGCCACGGAGGGGACGCCTCCCACTAATCGACTTGGCGCCCCGCCCCCTCCACTGGACCTGAGTGCCCCCTCCCATAATTGAACCGTCCACGGTGAGCACCAAGAAACTTGAAGGGGGAAGGGGGGAATTTTTGCAAGAGGTTCAGAACCTCAGGGCAGAGAAGTACTTTAATGGGGGGGGGGGGCAGTCTTCTATGAGAAAGTGAAACTCTGAGCACAGGGAAGATGTCCGCACCACTTGGACCCACCCGGGGGGATAAGGCGAAGCAGCAGAGCATAGGGGCAGATAGGGAAGTGGGGACTCCGAGGAGTCTTTTGATGGGAGCAGGAGGGGAGGGTGCCCAGACAACGTGTCCTGCAAGTTAACTGCCCCCCCCCGCCCCCGCGCAGCGTCGCCTGGCCAAGGCGAGGAGTCGGCGAAAGTGGACCGAGAGCTGGCCTTCAGGGAGGCCTCTGCGCCTCCTGCTGATGAGGGTGCGGAGAGTGGTAACCCCCTGGCCGCCCCGCCAACAGATCTGCAGCCTGGGCTCCAGGTACCAGGCTGCAGGTACGCCGCTGCTGGAGACAGGCCGGCGCCGGCTGCAGGCCTGGCGCCCTCGGGTCCCGCACCCCCGCCCGCGCCCTCCCCCCGCCGCCTGGGTTCTGGCTACTTACTGGCCGGGGGCGGGGAGAAGCGGGGATTCTGCATCCACGGGGTCCTCTCGGGCTTCTCGGGACTCTCGGCTTTGACAAGCGCATCTTCGGGCAGCTTGAGAAGTCCTCCCACCGAGAAATGGCCCAGCGGCCGCGGCGAAGACGGCGCGTCCGGGGCTCCCAGAGACCCCGGCCGGGCGCCCAGGGGCTGCGCGGAGCCGCCCGCCGCCTGTGCGCCCTCGGAGGCCACCAGGGCGCTCTCCTTGGCCCCGGGCTTCCTGTGGTCGGCCATGAGCGCCTCCACGCTGAAGGGCAGGAGCGAGGGGGACGCTTTGGGCTTGGCCCCCTCCTCGTCTGCGCCCATGGCGGGCGCCGGGGCCGCCGCGGCGCTGGGGGCCTGGCTCCCGCCTCCCCCCGCCGGCTTGCCGAAGGCGGAGTCCTCCACTTTGACACCGAGTGGCAAAGAAGTCATGTCAGCAGCCGGGGCCATGCAGAGCCGGGCCCCCCTCCAGCCGCAGCACGGGCCAGCCGCCGGGCATGGGCTTCGGGCGGGCTGGAGCGCGGCCGGCCTCTGGCAGCGCCCGGGGCCCTGGCCGGGCGGGCCCTCGCGCGCGCGCCTCCCGCCCCTCCCCAGAAGGCCGGCTCCGCGCCCGGGGCCTGGTTCTCCGCTGGCGCCGCGGCGCAGGCCGACTTCCCGGGCGCGCTCGCCGGCTCCGGGTCGGGCCGCAGCTCCCCAGAGAACTTGTTAATAAGGCGAGGCCGGCGCCGCGCGAGCCAATCAGCGCGCGAGGGGGCGGGCCCGGCGCCGGCCATTGGGCCGCGCTCCGGCGGACGGGCCCCGGGGCGCCCTGCGCCGCGGGGCGCGCGGGACCGGGCCGGGCCCGGGAGGGCAGAGGAGGGGAGGGGGCGCCGGAGAAACTTTCCTCCGCGCCGCAGCCGGGGCCGCGCGTCTCTCCCCCGGCCCTGGTGGGTCTCTATTTTTTTCTGCGTTCCTGGGGGACTTTCCCAGCTCTCGCCCCATCTCTTCTGCCCTCCCCCCCTTCCCTTCCTTCATCGCCCCCCTCTCTCTCCCACGCCTCCCTTTCCCCCCAACTCCTTTCCTGTTTCCATCAGGGCTTCCTTCACCTTTCTGTTCAGCCTGCTGCTGTGTCTGTTTCTCTACCCCCTCCGCTATCGGCCTCGCGCCCTCTCCACCGTGATCATTTCAGATGAGTCATTGCAGACATCTTCTTTTACAGTTAACAAAAAATCTGGATGTTTGTGTGTTCTAGTAGAGAGTAAGGTTGTTAATTTCTTTTTTTAAAGCGCCTCTATTTTCTCCCTCTGTGTTAATCTTCGAAACTTTACCTCTGCGTAAAAGTGGGCCTTTGTCTCTCTCTGGGCGCCCGACTGAAGTTCGCCTAAAGCGGCCCCTCTCCTGTGGCGCTCGAGATGCTAAGAGTAAGAACACATCATATTATCCGGGGTCGTTCATCGATTTTCATTCACGATGTGTACTTTTCCCCGCGGTGAACTTCCCTGGAAGCATGACAACACCTATCCCGGCGGCCAGCTGGGGGAAAGGAGCCGCCGGGTCCTTTCGATACAGAACTTATTGAAATAAAACCAGCAGAAACGTCAACAAAACACTGATCTGGCCTTAACGTGACCTCGACGCGTTCGCGGAAACAATAACACGGCGCTGTCTCTGGGTCGCGGATGGCACAGGACCGGGGAGGCACCTTTGTGGGCGGGGGGTCAGCGGACACAGAGATCCCTCCTGGGAAGGGTCCTGGGTACCAGGGCTTGAGAACTTTTATTTTGCCAGTTTCGGAGGAAACGTGACTATTTTTTTTTTCTGCAAAAAAAATGGAGCAAAATGAGTTGAAAGTGTGGGGAGATATAAGATCTATGCAAAGTCGGGCTGGGGCTCAGCAGTTTTCTTCGCCTCCTCTTTATGGCCTCTTATCCCCGGGCGCAGGCCGGCGACTCCCGGGGAGCCAGCGCGGTGATTGGCGGCTCACGGGGACCCGCCATTGATGACTGCGGGGTTCTAATCTCCAGGAAACACAAGGGGCTGCCGTGGCCATTTAGGGGTAATTATCCGAGCGCGGAGGGACAGTGAATTCCCTCGCCTTTTAACTGGGCGCAATAAAAGCTGTAGATTAGGGGCGTCCAGATTAAGGAAAATGAATTGCTAGAGCGGGAACTTTATTACCCTGACGGCGTCCGGGGTCTGGCGGGAGGGGTCGGGCCGCGGGCGCCAGGGTGAACGGCAGCCTCACATCTGTCCATAGGCTCCAGAGATATGTTCAGGCCTTGGGCGGGGGGGGGGGGGGGGGGGGGGGGGGGGGGAGGTGAGGAATACTCGCATCTGTGAAATTTACGCGGCGTTTCCAGACTCCTTACTTGTCCGAGGCTGCAACACGAGCATTAGGCAGGGGTTGGGGCCTCCAGCTCGCTCGGGCCCAGCTGCACCCACAAGGCCTATCTTAACCTCCCGGTACCGCGGGCCCAGGGGCAGGACGAATAGATTCCTGCCACCAGGCAGCAGAACCGAGGCCCGGGAGGTATGATGCAGATGCAAGGAGACGAGGCTGGCACTCAGCTGAGGCTGACACTCAGCAAGGCTGTAGGCCGAACGGGGGGCCAGCATCCCAGCCCAGACCGCGAACTTCTATGGCCTGCGTTTTCAACTTAGCTGTCGCTGGAACGACACCCTACAGTCGAGCCAGAATCTCCCTCTGCGCTGGGGGTCGATGGGCAGAGGAAACCGAGGCCCCTTGGTTTGAGGTCACCATTTCGACAGACAGCAGCGTGGCTTTTCGGTGGGGCTTGCGCTGTCCCGCCGTCATCTCCCATCTCCGAATGTCCGACTCTCAGATCACTTGGCGAATCTGCCCTAAGAACGTCCTCCGTAGAAAAATGCACAACAGTAAAATCAACTTCATGGGGATGGGGCGGGGCGGGGGGAGGCTCTGGACGCTCCTGAAGTCCGCCAGCCGAGAACCTCAGCCTCAGGGCGGAGCAGGGGCTCGAACCCCGAGAGTGCGGCCGCGGACGCAGAGGGGTGTCCGGGCCGGCTCCCGCGGCGGCGCAGCGAGGCCCGGCGCGGGCCCGGGGCCGGCCAGCCGGGCGGCGGGAGAAGGGCCGCATCTCTAATTGCGGGGATAAACAATCTGTCACGATCCCTCAGCGCGCCTAATAGGCAGACGAGGATGTTGTTTTTAGGCGCCAGCGGCGGCCCGATCAAAGGCAGCAGCCGGCGCAGGGGCCCTTGAAGTCGCGCCCCCGCCTCCCGGGAGCAGACCGCCTGCGCCCGCAGCCCCCGGCCCCGCCGCCCTCCCCTAGGCATCCCGAGCCCGTCCGGAACCCCAGGGTATCTTTTTGGGTTCGCACTGGGTTTTGGCCTGCTCTCGCCGGACGGGGCGGGTTAGCTGGGTGCAAGCGTTGCAAGAGAGAAGCGTGTGCCCGAAGAGGGAAGGGGGTTCCGAGGAGGCTCCACGCGGAGCCCGTGCTGCGAATTGCGCGCGCGGCTCTTGCACGGATCTGCCTTTGAACTGCAAGGGGGAGAACGATGCCCCCCGGTCTCGGAGAAGGGGGTTCGAGGAAAGGAAACGTGTACGTGTGTCTCTCCGAGCTGGTTGAGCCCGCGGGTGGAGAGGCGCAAGTTTGGGGGCGGCGAGGAGCGTTTTCTGCGTTTCTATCCGTCTGGGCCTCTCCGGATTTCCCGATTGGAGGGTTTCTCGAGCTGGACGGGGCCAGGGGGGCTGCGCCTGTTATCTCGCCGCCAGCACGGCCCCCCCCCCCAGGCGCTTCCACCCCGACATTTCTTCGCGCGGCCGCAGCCGCCGAGAAAGCCGGGCTGTAATTCATGCCTGGCAAGGGCAGGGCTGGCCCGGCAGATAACGCCCGGGGACGGCGCTCGGCGGGCATCCCCTGGCGCAGCGCTCCCTCCCCTCGCGCCCGGCTGCGTCCTCCTCCGTGCGGGGCTCTCTGTCCCCCAACAAAGCACCTCGGGCGGGCTTGGGATCCCAAAGACGGATTGACTGCCCCGCGTCTGCTCTCTGGGCAACTGAACCGGGAATGGGTTTGGTCTTTTTCCTCCAAAAGCCTGTTTTAGGAGGGTGTGCGGCGGCGGCGGCAGGGTGGTGTTTTTGAACTCCCCCTTCGTAGGGAAAGACTAGTTTTTAGAGGGGTCCCATCTTGAAGAGCGCTGTCAGCATCTGGGTATCACCGCAAGCACTGGAAGAGCCTGCCGGCTGGCCCCTCACTCGGGCATTCGTTGTCGCCTCCGTCGGGTTTTTGTTCACGCCCCTCCCCCCTTCCAATGCATTTTGTGGCCTCGACCCAGGAATCCCGCGTGCATTTTAAAAAATGTGCAGCTCAGTGGGATCCCCCGGCAATTAGCGAGCCCCAAACAGTCCTCTTTAATAGAATGAATGTGCTATGAAAACCGATTACCCGGAACGATTTATTTTGGTGGGAATTCACCAATCTCCAGGAGGGCTGGGGAGGGGGAGAGAGAGGAGGTATTTTGTCCTGAGGTGGGGAGGAGGGGGGGAGGTTGACGGGTAGACAGAAAGCACGACCTCGGGATTCCCCAACGTGAGCAGGGGGCCTCCCAATCCCGCGCCTTCCAGTCTTTCGGCCTCGCCGCCCAGAAGTGGAGGCTGCGAGTCAGAGGTTTGGGAATCTGTCCGGGAATCTCTGTCGGTTTCCTTCGGGAGAATTTCACAGCTTTCCAGGGAAAAACTCGGAAGAGCTGAGGACTCCAGGGAGTCTTCAGCTACTGGCTGAGTATCCACAGCACGGATCCAAATCAAAATTGGGCAGAGCTTATGATTTTAAGAGTTTAGGGGCCCTTCTCTAACGCAAAGTAAAAAAAAAAAAAAAAAACCCAACAACAACAAAAAGCTACTCGTAAAAAATGTCTGGTCCTTCTTGCTAATTCCTCTGCCTCAAGTGGGCCCAACTCGTGCGCTGCAAGGAGTCTGACTGCCCGCTTCTTACCCCCTTCCCGCCCCTCCCCCCTTGCTGCTTTCCTCTGGCTCAGGCTGGGGCTTCCTTGTGTCTTTAAGTTCGGAAGCGGGAGAGGGGGCCTGGATCCGCGGGGGAGAGAGGGGCCCCCTTTCAAATGGCCCAAATTAATGTGATCGCGACATGAGGGTGCACTTGGGGAAGATGAAAGCGGAGGCCGGCCGGCTCCTCCTAGAGCTCTATAATTATAGATAATATATCCCATTTCAAAGCAATTAGACCAATCAGGCGTAACGAACCACTTTGCTGCCGACGAATAACAAAGGCGCACGGTTATTTAAGCCTGGAGATGTCAGGCAGACCCCGAGGCTCCAGGGGCCGACCAAACCTCTTCCGTGCCGGCTCTGCCCGCCCGAGGAGGCTCGCCCCGCTCCCCCGCCAGGCTCTGCCCAGCCCGCTGACGGCCCCACCTCTGTTCCGGCAAGGGCCGGGAGGGGCAGGGGACTGGAGGGAAGGAATGTGAAAAAGAAAACTGACTTATACTGAGCTGGGTGTCAGGCCTGTCGTCAAAGGTTTTGCAAACTTTATCCGGTTTAATCCTCTCTATCCGCGGAGATGGGCTTTATTAGGGGCTCCCCCCTCCCCACTTCCGCATGAGAAAACAGGATCAGAGAGGGAAAGTGGCTTGCCCAGGGTCACACAGCGAGTTAGTGGTGGCGCTGGGATCCGGACGCAGGTGGGTCTGA